AAGGGTTCAATCAGTCGGAGTGATCCCTCTCAGTGTCGGTCACCAGGGGGAGCCAGTGACACATACTCCACATAGAATTCGGCCAGACCTATTTCAGTCTGCTTCATCTACCCTGACTGAGATCATCCCCAGGCCAAGTGTCCATGTTGGTCTGTGACAAGGCAAGATGTCTGTCAGGAACACTACATCATGAAATGAGCTTTTACAAATTGACTTATCAAGAATTACCGGAGTTCTTTCTGTTCACCGATGAGATGGTTTTGATATTCTAAATTTAAAATATCATAGTAACTACTTTAAATCCTTCTAGATATATCTATAAAATAAGTAATTCTTTCTCAAACTGAACATGCATATTATCAAGAGGTACATCTAGGGTACATACTTTCTTCCAGTACCACTGATATTAATTATCAAGACTTAGAGGTACATGTCAGGTACATACTAGCTGCCAGAACCATTGATGCCAATTGTCAAGAGGTACATGTATGGGACAAACTTGCTGCCAGTACCACTGGTATCAATTATCAAGAGGTATATTCAGGTACATACTAGCTGGCAGTACCATTGAATCCAATTATCAAGAGGTACATGTATGGCACATACTTGCTGCCAGTACCATTAACATCAATTGTCAAGAGGTACATATATGGTACATACTTGCTGCCAGTACCATTGGTATCAATTATCAAGAGGTACATGTATGGTACACACTTGCTGCCAGTACCATTGACATCAATTGACATGAGGTACATGTATGGTACATACTTGCTGCCAGTACCATTGGTATCAATTATCAAGAGGTACATGTATGGTACATACTTGCTGCCAGTACCATTGACATCAATTATCAAGAGGTACATGTATGGTACATACTTGCTGCCAGTACCATTGACATCAATTATCAAGAGGTACATGTATGGTACATACTTGCTGCCAGTACCATTGGTATCAATTATCAAGAGGTACATGTATGGTACATACTTGCTGCCAGTACCATTGACATCAATTATCAAGAGGTACATGTATGGTACATACTTGCTGCCAGTACCATTGGTATCAATTATCAAGAGGTACATGTATGGTACATACTTGCTGCCAGTACCATTGACATCAATTATCAAGAGGTACATGTATGGTACATACTTGCTGCCAGTACCATTGACATCAATTATCAAGAGGTACATGTCAGGTACATACTTGCTGCCAGTACCATTGACATCAATTATCAAGAGGTACATGTCAGGTACATACTTATCAGATACAGACAGTTACCATACATCCCATCTTGGGTCTGCTGTTGTCACAGCAACATGTACATGTATTTACTTCTTCCAAGGAACGGTTCAGGTTCTTGTTACTAAGTGTTTGCTGTAAGGGGACTGTATTATGCACACAGTCAGTTATTCTCAAGACGTCACACCATGTTATGTTTCTAATCCCCCCAAACAGAGCAGTCAGGCAAACAAAATAAATTTAAACTAGTTTCGTCTTCCTCAGTGTATCTATAAAAAAAATGAAATACTTATATAAGTGTTTGTCTCTTGTACAAAGTATTTTTCCAACAAAGCACATCACAAAAAGGTGTGGGTCAAGAAAATATTGTTATTCTTTTAATGGCACGGCAGATTCTACAACAAACAACCAAAAGAAAAACAGAAACTATCATATGTCAAGAAGATGAAATAAGATTCTTAACGATGTTGATAGAATCCGAAATGAGGGTCTCAAATGAGTCATATCACATTTTTATCTGTTTGCAAAATGATATGATGTATAATATTTCAAATTATTGCACATGATGATTTCAATTGATGATAAAAACTACATGTAACTTTAGAAAAATAGTTCGGCCTTGACTTTAAGAGGCTGATGATAAAGAAAACATATCATTATGATACTGAGAAAAAGAATAACAAAGGAATCATTTGACCACGCAACACATCTGCAACACAAGGGCTGTCAAAGTAGAGACAAGATTATCAGCAATGATAATCAAATAGTCAGGAACAGATGACTGAATTTCACCTCTGCACAATATACATGTCATGTTTCTGTACAAAACTACTTTGATTAATTGATTACCAGTTGCAGTAGAGAACAATTAAGAAAAGGACAGCACAATCTATCCATCTGCACGACATGATCTGGTGATAAAGTCTCTATTTCTGAATGCTTCCTCCGTTAATAATCGCCTTGCTCCACATAATCGTCCAATTTCCTTTGCTTGACAAATATGCACAGCTCTACCAAAAATAACTGGGAGAAAGATTGAGGAAGACAAGAAAGTGCTATGGAGTGAATATGAAGATTTATCACAGGCTTGCCCATTAAATCATTCAATAATGCATTTCTCGCTTGTCTGACATCCATCATGGTGGTCAGACAGACACCGTATCCTGCCAAACTGGAGTGAACATTTCCAAAATAAAACCCAATTCTCCCAAATTGAATTATAAAAACCACATATTACACAAAGAAGGGTTAGCATTGGCAGTTGGTCAAATCACCTGAACACTAATATAAAGTATATTGAAAGAGGCCAAACTTAAACACTGAGAAAATCTTTGAGCCTGCACATTATTGGCAGATGAAAATGAACTATTATGAAGTTCAATAGGGTTATATTTGTACAGCCTTTCTAAATTGAGGAGATATTTGAAGGGATTTACTTTCTGTTTGTATTTCCAATCATTCCAATCCTCGCTTAGGCCTACTGATCAGCTTCATGATTAGGTTTTACGTGTACTACAACAGTGCTGTCTGAATATAGCTATAGCTGCTCTGGGCTTCCTTCTGCTGAAGAACAAGGGTCTTACAAACTCCAAACACTGGTGGTGGGAATTGGATAAAATGTGAAGATTGATAATTGGTACAAAAAAGATATTGATGATCAATCAAATAGTGATCATGAAAGTGGAGATAAAAATCATCCACTTAGAAAATCCTCTCTGTGTGATACTTTATGTAAAGACCCAAAATAATAAGATAACATTTTGTAACTTATATTTACTTTACTCAGCAACACAAACATATCTACAAGGATACTGAAACAGCAACAGGCCTTGAAACCTTCTCCACTATCAGAAGCTTGTTATAATCAATCTCATTAATAACAAAGACATAAAAAGACAAATATAATTGGCAAATAATTGATCAGAAACAACTCAACTAATCAGTAAATATCAATTGAAGAATTATATTTGTAATCTTCATAAGAAATAACAAGAATAGCAAAGTAGGTCAGGTAACAGCATACTATCAAAAGGCAGTGTAAGACATGGTTTTGAGAGGCCACACTTGTAGGGAGTGAGTGTTACCCAGGGCACACTACAGCTCACAGATCCTGTGGTTGATAGCGTGAGCATCTTGGCCCTTGGCTCTCCTAGACAGCATAGTGTACAAGCTCAAGCACTAGTGTATTGTGTCCAAAGTCTTGAGTCCCTCCTCATGGAGTAACACCCTGGTGTCACTGACAGCCGCCAACTGTGAAGTCACTACTCTGTACATGGCTCGGGTTCCACTAGTTCATCAGTGTCTGGTGTCTCACAACAGGTGAAGCTGAGCTTCCTTGATGACAGTAAACAATCCTTCTCTTCTACACTAGGGTTTGTTCCACCCTGAGTTTTGAGATGGAGAGTGTCTAATTCCCAGATCTTCCCTCTAAGCTCACATAATATGCGTAGCAAGGTGTGAAACACATCTTTCAAAATGTCAACCATGAAGGTTGAATGGAAAAAAACAGTACAGACTTAGAAGGAATACATCTATGAACAAGGGGAAAATGAAGCTCTTCATAATAGTGAAAATTTCTTTTGAGTGCAGAGAGTGTGCCCCTGTTCTACACAGTAGCCAGTGAGCGAGCAGTATTGCAGAGAGTGTGCCCCTGTTCTACACAGTAGCCAGTGAGCGAGCAGTATTGCAGAGAGTGTGCCCCTGTTCTACACAGTAGCCAGTGAGCGAGCAGTATTACAGAGAGTGTGCCCCTGTTCCACACAGTAGCCAGTGAGCGAGCAGTATTGCAGAGAGTGTGCCCCTGTTCTACACAGTAGCCAGTGAGCGAGCAGTATTGCAGAGAGTGTGCCCCTGTTCTACACAGTAGCCAGTGAGCGAGCAGTATTGCAGAGAGTGTGCCCCTGTTCTACACAGTAGCCAGTGAGCGAGCAGTATTGCAGAGAGTGTGCCCCTGTTCTACACAGTAGCCAGTGAGCGAGCAGTATTGCAGAGAGTGTGCCCCTGTTCTACACAGTAGCCAGTGAGCGAGCAGTATTGCAGAGAGTGTGCCCCTGTTCCACACAGTAGCCAGTGAGCGATCAGTATTGCAGAGAGTGTGCCCCTGTTCTACACAGTAGCCAGTGAGCGAGCAGTATTACAGAGAGTGTGCCCCTGTTCCACACAGTAGCCAGTGAGCGAGCAGTATTGCAGAGAGTGTGCCCCTGTTCTACACAGTAGCCAGTGAGCGAGCAGTATTACAGCACTAGCCATGAGGTCTGTCACAGCAAGCCTGGAACAGGCAAACCAGCTTCAGCAAGATCCACGCCAGCTGGCGAGGAATACCACAGTCATTGTCAGGTCAGTCAGGGTCAGTGGCTGTTCCATGCAGTATCACTACCCAGCAGGCCATCCCCCTTTTAGTCACCTCAACGGGCATCATGTAATGGCCACAATGGATATGAGGCTTAATGAAAACTAAAATAGTATTTAGCTCTTTCTCAGCTTTTTATTTCCAGTGACAAGGAATTTCACATGATGTCTCCTGGTTCCCAAAACATATTGTGATGTTTTAAGCTGATGTTTTTCCAGACAGAATATAACCCTAGAATATTACAAGAGAATGCAGTGACATGACAGGGTATACCAAACACCCAAAGGTAACATTTATTTCTGACGCAAAGGGCAAATGGTTAAGTTTGCACCCTGATAATGGACACAAAATCAAGTGCATAGATGGTGTAAACAATTAAATCATTAAAAAAAGAATCCTGGAGTGATTAACTTACCTTGGTGCACTCTTCCTCAAACTCGCGGAGTTGCAGACACTGCTCCAGCTTGTTGAGTCTTGTCTCGGCCATCTTGACTAGTTTCATCATGGTGTCCTGCAGTTGGCGGAACAGGGTGTTGATGGTCTCCATTGCACATCTGCAATTCAGAAAGGAGATATTATTCTTTATTAAACTTGATATGAGCGGCAGAGTTCTGACTGAAGCAATCCACAGATTGGATTTGGCCCCTAACTCAATGAAAACTTCTGCCACATTTTTATATGAAACTCAAAAATGATCCACTCCAGACAGAGACCATATAATAGATTAATTATATAGTCTCTGACTGCAGAGTACAAAACATGTTGGATTAGCACATGGGAACATCCATATCGCTCGCCTTTGACAAAATGAAGGTATTTTATGAACACTTCAGCTAGATTCTCAAAAGCATTTTATGTACTCTTCCCTGAATATCACAAATTCCAACAACATTTGACAGAAGAGTTCAAGCTGAAATTTCTTGTCACAAACCTGTGACAAATTCATAACCACATACATCATGAGATAGAATTATCAGTCATATCCGTTATAGTGAGATCGACTACTGTGTAAGTAACACATGTTTGATCCATGTTTTCCATGATTAATCGGTTTCGGCTTCCAATCAAGAAATCAATACTGAATTACGTGATCCTTTTCAAATCATATGGTCATTTTGATGAATTGATAGCAGATAATATGCTGAAGTAAAGTGTCTAAAGTGAGATAATGTCTAAGCTAGCAGCTACATTGCCTAGTTCTTGATTCATGCTGTCTGTCAGCTAACTACATTAAAAGACTATTTTACAGTTTGGTGATTTATCCACAGTTGTCTGAAGTAAACCAGCAGGGACTGGCTATTCCAGTTAATGATTGACTGTTAATCAATCTACAAAAGCTTTTATATACCAAAGATCAATTCTAAAATCTGAACCAGTTGCCAACACAAGTGTCCTGAGGGAAGTCTCCTTACTTGTAATCATCTGAGTGAGCAGACAAGGACGCGTTGCGGCGGAGAGAGCTCATGGTGGTCTCGCCATCATGCTGGAGGACCACAAGCCGGGGATCATCGAAGGCCTTCTTCACCAGGTGTTCGTGCTGCTCAATCAACTGACTAGTTTCATGTGTGGTGCGTGGCAGTTTCTCCAATGACGAGAGGTCCTGCATTACTTGGACTAGATACTTGGCCACCTCACGGCAATCTGCCAGAAATGGTTCTAATTTCTGGAAAGAAAAGAAGCAATTTGAAAAAAAAATGAAACATGAAGCTTTAATGAAAAAGAATCTATGGATGTCAACTTCTTTATAATGAGGAACACAATGTTTAAGAGTATATGCTTACTCCTTCATCACCAAAAATTCTCTTCCTTATGTGTATCACTTTTAAATGCCTTTCAAAGATTTGATGAAGGTTTTGTTCAATTTTAACCAAATTTTAGAGTGTAACAAATTAAATACTATCTTTGATAACTCAGGAGAGTCAATATAATATTCTACAATTCTACAATTCATATTTGGGCAATTCTACAATTCATATTTGGGCAATTCTACAATTAATGTTTGGGCAATTCTACAATTCATATTTGGGCAATTCTACAATTCATATTTGGGCAATTCTACAATTCATATTTGGGCAATTCTACAATTCATATTTAGGCAATTCTACAATTCATGTCTGGGCAATTCTACAATTCATATTTGGGCAATTCTACAATTCATGTTTGGGCAATTCTACAATTCATATTTGGGCAATTCTACAATTCATATTTGGGCAATTCTACAATTCATGTTTGGGCAATTCTACAATTCATATTTGGGCAATTCTACAATTCATATTTGGGCAATTCTACAATTCATATTTGGGCAATTCTACAATGCATGTTTGGGCAATTCTACAATGCATGTTTGGGCAATTCTACAATTCATATTTGGGCAATTCTACAATTCAAATTTAGGCAATTCTACAATTCATGTTTGGGCAATTCTACAATTCATATTTGGGCAATTCTACAATCCATATTAAGGCAATTCTACAATTCATATTTGGGCAATTCTACAATTCATATTTGGGCAATTCTACAATTCATGTTTGGGCAATTCTACAATTCATATTTGGGCAATTCTACAATTCATATTTGGGCAATTCTACAATTCATGTTTGGGCAATTCTACAATACATATTTGGGCAATTCTACAATTCATATTTGGGCAATTCTACAATTCATATTTGGGCAATTCTACAATGCATGTTTGGGCAATTCTACAATGCATGTTTGGGCAATTCTACAATTCATATTTGGGCAATTCTACAATTCAAATTTAGGCAATTCTACAATTCATGTTTGGGCAATTCTACAATTCATATTTGGGCAATTCTACAATCCATATTAAGGCAATTCTACAATTCATATTTGGGCAATTCTACAATTCATATTTGGGCAATTCTACAATTCATGTTTGGGCAATTCTACAATTCATATTTGGGCAATTCTACAATTCATATTTGGGCAATTCTACAATTCATATTTGGGCAATTCTACAATTCATATTTAGGCAATTCTACAATTCATATTTGGGCAATTCTACAATTCATATTTAGGCAATTCTACAATTCATATTTAGGCAATTCTACAATTCATATTTGGGCAATTCTACAATTCATATTTGGGCAATTCTACAATGCATGTTTGGGCAACTCTACAATTCATATTTGGGCAATTCTACAATTCATATTTAGGCATTTCTTCAATTCATGTTTGGGCAATTCTACAATTCATATTTGGGCAATTCTACAATTCATATTTGAGCAATTCTACAATTCATATTTAGGCAATTCTACAATTCATATTTGGGCAATTCTACAATTCATATTTAGGCAATTCTACAATTCATATTTGGGCAATTCTACAATTCATATTTGGGCAATTCTACAATTCATATTTGGGCAATTCTACATTCTAGTTTTCTAATTCTACCAGCCAATAATTCTCATAACACAGTGATTAATATACATGTGGCTTGAGAGAATTTCAACTATTGCTTGCCTGCATTGGTAGAGTGACGTAATGATGCTATGATTATTGTTGATTGGATAGCATGAATTTCAACATTTGAAATCATGATGCACTCTTATCCAAAATGAATTTAATTCCAATCTATTATTAACACAGGTACTTAAAAGATAGCACAGGTTTACAATGGGATAAATAAATGACATATCATACCATTCTGAATCGGACCCACTCGTCGTGGCTGTAGTTAAAGTTTCCATCGAGGGCAAATGGAAGCTGGTTAAGGGCAACGAAACGATGAATCAAATCTTGTGACAGAATGAGATCAAGCTGAAACAGATATGTTAACAACATCAGGTATACTGTAAGATCATACACTCGTACTACCTTGGAACAATTCCAGCGGGTCAAGTAACAATCACTTTGACAAAAGTACAATATTTTACTTGAAAGTTTGAGTGAATGGGTTTAAAACAGCTTTTGAACATTATTTTAATTACACCTTCATATGGCAGGAAAACCACAAGTTATGCAGGTAAGACATTTACCACTTTGGTAAAACCCTACATAGTTTGATGTGTAACTACAACTGTGGGTACACTGTATACAATAGAAGCTGATCACCCATCGATAGGCCTGCCATACTGTCACCACTAGAGGCAAGTGTTGCATGGTGGACAGGTCTTTAGAGGAATACCATCGATAGGCCTGCCATACTGTCGCCACTAGAGGCAAGTGTTGCATGGTGGACAGGTCTTTAGAGGAATCCCATCGATAGGCCTGCCAAACTGTCACCACTAGAGGCAAGTGTTGCATGGTGGACAGGTCTTTAGAGGAATACAATCGATAGGCCTGCCAAACTGTCACCACTAGAGGCAAGTGTTGCATTGTGGTCAGGTCTTTAGAGGAATCCCATCGATAGGCCTGCCATACTGTCGCCACTAGAGGCAAGTGTTGCATGGTGGACAGGTCTTTAGAGGAATACCATCGATAGGCCTGCCATACTGTCGCCACTAGAGGCAAGTGTTGCATGGTGGTCAGGTCTTTAGAGGAATCCCATCGATAGGCCTGCCATACTGTCGCCACTAGAGGCAAGTGTTGCATGGTGGACAGGTCTTTAGAGGAATACCATCGATAGGCCTGCCATACTGTCGCCACTAGAGGCAAGTGTTGCATGGTGGTCAGGTCTTTAGAGGAATCCCATCGATAGGCCTGCCATACTGTCGCCACTAGAGGCAAGTGTTGCACAGTGGTCAGGTCTTTAGAGGAATACCATCGATAGGCCTGTCATACTGTCGCCACTAGAGGCAAGTGTTGCATGGTGGTCAGGTCTTAGGGGAATACCATCGATAGGCCTGCCATACTGTCGCCACTAGAGGCAAGTGTTGCACGGTGGTCAGGTCTTTAGAGGAATACCATCGATAGGCCTGTCATACTGTCGCCACTAGAGGCAAGTGTTGCATGGTGGTCAGGTCTTAGGGGAATACCATCGATAGGCCTGTCATACTGTAGCCACTCCTTAATATATCCCAGTCCATACACTGTTGAGACCAATTCAAACAGGTTGATCAGTATGTGTGTGTTCACCTTTAAGCCGGCATGAGGGTCGTAGACAGGTGACTTGAAGACGAGTGACTGTGTAGACCTGTCAGCCATTAGATGGACTACAGCCATGCCATCTGGAATGTTGTCCTGAAACATGCAAGGCAACACATCTGACCACAATCTACTTCATGTGGGTACACTACAATGGAACACCACAACTTGTGTAAGCCACATCACAAACACTGTTGTTAATACTTACTTGAAAAATATACAGTGATTCTAGCAGAGTGTTGATTATGGAGGAGGTGGAGCCACGGATGTCTGCTACAAGGGTCATACCATGGCGGACAGCATCAGGCCTGCAACAAACCATACACTGTACATTCCGCACAGACAGAGTGGACTAAGTGGGGTTAGATGAGGACATGTCATGGGGGGAGGAGGATGTAGGGTGAGATCAAGTGGGGTGGGATGTAGGGTGAGAACAAGTTGGTTGGGGTGGGATGTAGGGTGAGATCAAGTGGGGTGAGGTGTAGGGTGACATCAAGTGGGATGGGGTGTTGGGTGAGGTCAAGCGAGGTAGGGTGAGGTTAAGTGTGGTAGGGTGGGGTGTAGTGTGAGGTCAAGTGCAGTGGGGTGTAGGGTGAGGTCAAGTGCAGTGGGGTGTAGAGGGAGGTCGTGCAGTGGGTGTAGAGTGTTGGGTGAGGTCAAACATGGTGGAGTGGGGTGTAGTTGGGTCAAGTGGGGTGGGGTGTAGGGTGAGGTCAAGTGGGGTGGGGTGTAGGGTGAGGTCAGGTGTGGTGGGGTGGGGTCAAGTGGGGTAGGGTGTAGGGTGAGGTCAAGTTGGATGGGGTGTAGGGTGAGGTCAAGTGTGGTGTGGTGGGGTCAAGTGGGGTGGGGTGTAGGGTGAGGTCAGGTGTGGTGGGGTGGGGTCAAGTGGAGTAGGGTGTAGGGTGAGTGAGGTCAAGTGGGGTGGGGTGTAGGGTGAGGTCAAGTGTGGTGTGGTGGGGTCAAGTGGGGTAGGGTGTAGGGTGAGGTCAAGTGTGGTGTGGTGGGTTGTAGAGTGGGGTGTAGGGTGAGCCCTTGCAGTGGGGTGTAGGGTGAAGTCAAATGAGGTGGTAGATGTAGAGGTATCTGATTTTATGTTGGTACTAGCTTTCAGTAAACAGCTTTTCGAGGGACATTTAGAAGTTTGATGTGTAACTACAACTGTGGGTACACTGTATACAATAGAAGCTGATCACCCAAACCATTTTGTTATTTGAAGCAGTACATAAGTGAAGCACACATATAATCCTCATTCAGTAAGTTGAATGAAGCACCTTGAAAATACTCATACAGTAGCATGTGTTGCAGATCACGAGGTCAGTGAGAAGGTGAGGTGAGGTGAAATGGGGTTTAACGTCTCGTCCAAGATTATTGCACTTATATAGCGACGTGCATGCACGTGTATGCACGTGTATGTGTGTGTGTGGCTGCTTGTACTAGTCCGGACTGATGCCGATTTATAGTGCTAGCACACTGAGATACCATGCCATAGTTTAACATGAATACCCCACTCAGACACAGTATACTGACTCCGAGCCGACCAGTCCTTGTTTTAGCCCCTTAATGCTGAGTGCCAGACAGGGTAACAACAAGTACCATCTTTTACCGTCTTTTGGTATGACGCGGCTGGGGATCGAACCCCGGACCTTCCGCTCTCCGGGCGGACGCTCTACCAATAGACCACGGAGGTCAGTGAGAAGGATCTTAAACAAATACCACTCTTTACTAAGCATTATTATGATTGTTTGTTTGTTGTTTAACACCACACTCAGCAATAGTCCAACTATATGATGGCGGTCTGTAAATAATCAAGTCTGGACCAGACTTAACAGTGATTGACATCATGACATCCATCAACCAAGTCAGCAAGCCTGACCACCCGATCCCATTAGTAGTCTCTTACAACAAGCATAGTCGCCTTTTATGGCAAGCTCGGGTTGCTGAAGACCTTTTCCCCTATTCTCACCCACATCTTTACGGGTCCATTATTATGTTGGCTTAATAGATCAGAAGGGACACACAAAGTCCATCAAAATGTGGTATGGCTGTTTCCTAATGATAAGCCTTCATCACAATTATTTCTGGATGCAAATGTAATTAATTTTAATACAACAGATGATCACATTATTTCATAAACCATCATGTTTTCATTTAAAGGTATAATAGAGAAGTCTCTATGTTCACTGAAATCAAGACTTGTCAATAGAAAGTTTTGCAATGCACTCTTGATGTGACAAGTGCTTGAGATAGGACAGTGTGCTCACCTGGGCACAGAGTGATAGTACATGAGAAGTTTAGCCAGTTCCACACTCAGGACTTGTCTATTATGCCAGATCATGCTCCCGGTGAAGATGAAGACAACAGCGCCACCACTTACATCCCGACTACCTGCAACACACAAACACATCCACTTGTAATCATGACATACATATATCACGAGTTGGTTGGTACATTTCTTGTTTACACTGCAGACAAAATTATGCCACCTGTTTCACACCGACCTTCAAATAATCAAGTCTTGACCAGCCACGTTCTACACTGTTGAGGTACAATGACATGCAATCTATCACATCTCCAGAGCCTGGCCACCTAATCACTGATATGATCAACATAGGGTGTTGGGGCTACCAATACAAAAACAAGTATAATGCTTTGAAAAACTGACAAATTCTTCACAAGTCTGGTAAAAAGATTCTCTTTATTAGATGTGACATTACGGACTTGACGACACCCACACAATGACTGTATTACAATACAAGACACTGTTTGGAGAATGGACCCAACAGCAAGACTAAGGGACTCTCACATCACAAAGTTCTCAAGCTGCGCCATCAAATCTACATCACCTGCTTGGTAACAGTGGTAGGATCGACACCGAAATGTCACATTCATTATTTGTAATAAAGAAGTTGTATATCCATAGAACTATCTCCCTTGTTCAAAAATGCATGTGTTTGTATGTCTGCATGTGAGTGCAAGCTGATGTGTAACTAATCTGCTATACATTTACAGTTGTCAGCACACAAACATGAAGGAGTAAATATCAGCCTTGTTCACTTGATATGCCCCCTGCAGAGCTGTAGAAAAGTTGGAAAACCACAAAGATCTCACTGTATCCAGTTACGAAGCTGATTCATTTTCAGGTATTTGGGATACTTTACAGAACAAATAATGTTTCAAAAATCATATGAATCCACAACACTGTTAAAATGAAACAACTGTTTGCTGGTGTAAGTCTTTCATATTTATTGAATTTGGAATATTATCATTTAACTTTGTAGAACGTAAACATTTCACAAATGTGTTTTGTATATGAGTTGGATTAGAATGCATGATATGAAGCAAGTTTTCTCAAATATGTAAGCAAGCAGCTTACAAGCATTATTCGTATCCTGTTACTTTGTTCCTTGCAGTCTTTTCCCCAACACTGCCCTCCTTGAACTGTTGTGAGGAGCAACATCGATCTCCCCCTCTCACCACCCAGAGGGAGCCAGCATCAACACAACCTCCATCCCTCAAGTCAACAAAGACCAGGAAATGTTCCAAACATAAATGGAAGGTTCATGAGGCTTGATCGACAACCCAGCTTTTGTCCACGGATGAAAAGAGTTCTTTACAAAGGTATCTAGATTTGTAATTCAATGATCATGGTTGTGTAATGATTGTTCAAACCTGCAGAGGGGAAGCTGAAACTTTGCCAAACACATTCATCAACTTCAGAATGAAAACAAATGCAGCATGAAGTACATAAAGCGTTATACACACACTACAGAAATAGCTTAATGTAATATCATTCTGTCAGTATATCACTTGTTTTCAAATCCACTTATTAACATCCATTGGATAAGCTTCAAGGAATTGTTTCTTATTCTATATTTCCATGTTCAAATTCCTATATTTGTAATAATAACATTATTCTCAAAATACATCATAAATGTTGCAAGAGATGCAATCAAAATCAACTCATCTACAACTAAAAAGTGAAACATTTCCTTCACTATCGTCTGATAATAAGGGTTCCATTTCAGTTCATTTTCTAGGACATTGACAGATTTGTCTTCCAACATGTCCTGAAGACAGTTTTCAAATTGTTAAACTCCTGTAATTGTCCTCATGCCGCTATCTCTTGAGAATTAGAGTAAAATTATACTTTGTTTGTTTAACGCCGCACTCAGCAATATTCCAGCTACATGGTGGCGGTCTGTAAATAATCGAGTCTGGACCAGACAATCCAGTGATTGACATCATGAGCATCGATCCACACAATTGGGATACAATGACATGCATCAACCAAGTCAACCACCGAGCCTAACCACCCGATCCCATTAGTCGCCTCTTGCGACAAGCATAGTCGCCTCTTACGACAAGCATGGGTGGCTGAAGACCTATTCTAACCCAGATCTTTATGAGTCTGCAAATATATATGAGCTCTAGTTGTATGTACACAGAGACATGTATGGACCATGAACACTGCAGGTTTGACTTATACACTGGTAATAATTGTGGAATCATAAGGCAGATGTGTCTCCATATACTGTTATATTTAACTGTGAATGCTAATGCTAATTACAACACATTTTGTGATATTTGACTGACAAAAACGCTGGTGGTCATTAGATAAGAAGTAAGTAATATATTTTACCAAGTGAATCATCTTGCATCAGTACTGAAAACCCATGATGCACTGGTGCACCTATGTATCGTTTCACACTATTCTCCTCCTGTGTGACTGCAATCCCAATCTTAGTACATATAGTTGCTTCAATTTAAAACGGTCTATCATGCCTCACTTTGGCTTTGATGCTTCAGACATTAAATAAATAATACACACTGCATCCAAACAACTGCAGATACTCACAGCAGTCACAACCTCTTTATGATTACACAACAATATTTAGCCAGCCTACAGTATAATCCTTTGCTAAAGAGTGCATAGTGTAAGTTCATCAAACACTATCAATATTCTATTTTTTTTAATGCAATTAACTTGTTTGTGATTTCAAATATATGTGCCTGTTTACAATGTTGTTAGTACAGGACATGGGTCAAACAATCTCAGTTTATTTCAGCAAGGGCCGTTTGAATGAAATTTAATCTATTAAGTGCTTGTCTGTTCATGCAGATAAAAAACATAGCATTATGTAAACAATGGCAAACAGACAAAATCAGGAATAATGGTTGACATTGGATGAGCACAGAGACCAAATTGCTGACTACCAGAAGCATACTTCTGTCCAGAACAACACAATGCCTGTTCATGTACAGCAATAGGCCAACAGTCACTAGTAACACATCCATGTTCCAGTCAGTCACCCACACAGGCATAGAGGCAGGCTTAAGCAACAATGTTCCATTGCTGATGACATAGTAATTATATACTCTTCCATATCTCTAGCATCATCTAGAGGCTGCCAACATGTTACATGCAAGTCTCCATCCGAATGTCTCGCTGTAATAGTACATCAGCTTGCAAACCAACAGTCTTGACTTCAGAACAGGGATCAGTCATGGAGATGACTTCCAGTGTCAAATTAATCGAATGATTTCTACCCAGTGACAAGAGAGAATCTTACCTTCCCCTGGAGAACAGATTACTGGGTAATGACCAAAGAGGAAGAGATGGAGGAAGAGGATGAAGTGAGGCCAGCTCTGACTGCAGGGTGGGTCACACACAGAGTGTAATCCCTGCCAACAGATTAACTTAACAAAGCTTTTACAAAGTGCATATTTATAGAAAGGTTTGCAGCTTTTTGCACACATGACAAAAGCCCTTGAGACAGCCCAGAAGTTTGAGCCAGTAATGATACCAGCAAACAACAGCTGAACATTGTTAACACTCAACTCTTACAGATTGTTCTACAAGCTCAAAATATGGAACAGTGAATAGAGAGGTTTATTGTTGAGTAGGTGATTATATGTTCAATGAATGGATTAGCCTTGGCCAAGGTGAGATTGGTGTTTGGTGCGAAAATCTCACATGTGAAATAAATGAACGTTAAAAATCATAACAACAACTGAGAGGGATTAAATATGTCGTTTGCCTGCTTTTAGCTTGTAAACATACCGCCGCTTGCTACCAAGCTACTAGAGGCGGCTGTGAACAAGGGTGAGAAAATATGATAAATTTAACAGATAACGGTGAGGCATACACAAGGCTATGTCTAACCATCTAAAACAACCAGCTTGTTTGTTTTAGGAAGATGTTTTTTGTCATTTTGGAATAAAACTGCTTGACCGTAAGACTGATGAACCTGTCTGTCTCACATCGTCCTGTGACTTGCCTTCACAAAGTCAAGTCTGTGTGCAGCTAATCTTTCTATTTTAGCTTCAAAACCATTGTGATCCCATAGCTGGCCAAAGTTAGAAACAATAAATCTTGAGATAAACATTGCTATGTACAAAACAATGGAAATATCAAACAGACATGTAAACACAACAGATGTGACTGAATATTTTGGTGTTGTTGTGTTTGTGGTTTTTTATAGGCAGTACATGTTAGTGAGTATTTTTGTAAAACTACTTTTACCTCAAGCATCCATCATCTTCTTGATCATGTCCATCTGATTTTGGTTTTAGAGATAAATAAATTTTCAAATAATTCTATTAAGATGCATTCTGTCTGAATAGTATACCCACAGAGTCTGTGGTACAAAACAAGATATTCGACACAGCAGATCATAAAGCATTGAAACCTCCGAAACGACCAACATAAACTGAAGTATTACTTCTCCTTATCTGCTATTACTTAAAGGGGCACTGATCTAACGCAATTCCCCGGACTGGTTGGTGCCTTTGTTATTGTTTTTTCCCCCCTTGAGTACCCGGATGATACACAACGCAACTGAGCGTGACCAGAGACTGGGCTACCGTCTGCAAGGACAGCTAAATAAACTTGGAGGCTGGGGGCAATATTTGTTTTACGCATTTTTGCATAAACACTGATTGGTTAACTGTGATCTATAAAGATTTCGACAAAGGGCGCATGTTAATTAATTTCTTCACCCTAAACAAACAGACAAAAAGGACGGCGGAGCTCTTCGGATGTCGTCATTTGGAAATACCCCAGATGGTTATAGTTTAAAACTAAAAAAGTATCCATGCAGTGAAAGCATTTTCGGATTTCGGATTGCGTCGATAATACGATTACTACTCCCTTGTTGTCATCCACGTTTTCTCGTATAACCCTACACTTGTGTATTTGTCGTCATTCACTTGATGCTCAGTTAATGAATTTATTACAGGTACAATTAGTGGTAGCACCACTTAGATTACCTGACAAAGGTTCCCATTTGGCTTTTATTGTGTCTGGAGTAAATATTCAATCTACATCCAGGTTTGAAGTGAGGTGAAATGTGTGTTATGTAATATGCACGTGGCAGTTCAGCAAG